CTTCCTTAGCTTGAAGCAGAAACTCTGTCAACACTTTCCACCCTCAAAATTCTTTAATATTCACATAATTCTGGTCTTCAGTGGGTTCTCTCAGCCATGAGTAATGTACTTCTTAGTAATGCAGTTCCATTTCAGGAAAGGATCTCATGAGCAGAGTGTTCAGTTGCCAAAGGGATTTCTTAAAGCAGCAAGGACTTAACCTTTAGGAGGGAACACATTCACACCTTATGACTTGTACCAAGCTCCCAAACACAAGACTTTCATAAAAGAACATTGGTTGCCTTTATTTATATACCAATTTCTGCTGCATGTTCAACATGGTTGTTAAATAAAAATCAAACTAAGAAACTCAAAGAAATATCCTCCTTAGAACTGGAAAAGCCCTACACACATTTATTAAAAAACAGCTTTAGAAGTTCAAATCCAAAAGAACTGGGACCAAACACAAACTATGTAGCCATTACAGTTTCCATTCTCAGAGATACAAACAATGAAGTGTTGTCCATAAAAAAATTCTGGTTCTGAGCATAATCACCTCTAAAGTGCTCGTGTCCTAATTAAATGTGCCAAAGTCCACCACAAATAATACCTGACAACATTTGCGAAAGGCAATTTGGGTGCTGAAGAAGTTCAGGAGGATTTAGGGTGTGCTTTTGCCCTGGAAGTTGCTAAGTTTCCCTTCTCAGCAGTGTCAGTAAGCTGTAATTGCACACATGAAGGATGTCAAAAAGGAAATCAAAACCCCAGTCCTCACAACTAACTCTAAGATCACTCACTGTACACTGGGCACATTGCAAGAGATGAACAGACCGGAGTTTTTGAAAGCATCACTGAGTGCAGCCCATTTTTCTGGATTCCAAGACCAGCTCTTCCCAGCGCACATCAGTTTTTTTGAGGGTTTTCCATCCTGGTGCCTACAAAGCCTGGATAAGGAGATTTTGATCTGCCAGTGCCAGGCTGCAATTAGGCATGTTTGCAGTGGCTGAAAGCAGGTGATGCACAGTACGACCTGAGCCCCTGGTAAATCAGGCCTCATTATTTTCATGCCATGCCTTATGCAGGCCTCCCCATGCTGCAAAATAACCAACTGCAGAAATCACAGGAAGGGAAATAAAATCTGTCCCACAGTGGGAAACAGATTATACATTCTGATATCCTTCCACAGATGAGAGAGGAACTCTTCTGGCGATGCTTCATGCACTTTACAGAGTGCTGAGACACATGGTACTTCCATTCACAACCCATGAATGCATCCTCCCAGCAGGCATAAACAATATCGGGGGGGGAAGGGGGAAATCCCAGCATTTAGCATCTGCACAGCAACTTCTCATCTACTTACAAGATTTAAAAAGCAACTTTAGATTTTCAAAGAACCAAGAGTCATGGCAACAGAATCAAAGCAGAGTCACATTTTGTTCATAAATGCAGTAGTGCAGGCAAGACTTTGGATCCAGTAACATCTGAACAGAATGAACAAATAAGAAACTGTCAAAAGGGACTAAAACAGTCGCAGACTTAGAAAAATCCAGGACAAATCGTGAAGAGGCAAATTTAAGCCAAAGGTTTTTCACCACAACTCTAGAAAAAGCACTCAGTGCAAGAGAATTAGAATTCAAGTCTTCCAACAACAAAAACTCCAACACTATAGACAAATTACATGTGGGAAACTAATAACTGATGAAAATTTGAATAAAAAGTACAGAACAGCACCACCTAATAATGAAAATATGAGTTCAGAGAAAATTTATTTAAACCTTCACCACTATTAATTCAATGTATGGTTCCTGAACATTTTCTTCCATCTTATTCAGGTACTTAAATAAAAAGCACCTGCAAGAATTTTCTGTAATAGCTTAGACAAACAAGACTGCTTGTATGATCATTTAGTCATCTTTAACACCATATAAATTCATCCTGATAGGCCCTGCAGATTTTTACCAGGGATCACATGCATTACATTTTTAGTCCTTATTTTCCACATCTCTCCCTCCTGAGTTTTCCATTCCATTGCCATTTCAGAAGAAGTAAGAAAGAGGAGGAGAGAAAACAACAATACAACTTGGCAGGTTTAGAAAGCTGGACACTCACTGAACTGGAAAGAACAGGATATAATGCTGACCTGTACAAGGATTCAATCCACTCCCCTTTGGACAGTTCTGTCCCATGTCCTCGGCCCCACAGAGATGTGCCTTTCCTTGCTGCCACACAAGCCCTACACACAGAGCTGTTCACAGCCCTAGATTAGGTTTTCTATGAGTCAAGAAAATTATCTAAGCTATTTTAGGAATGTTAAGGCTGAAGGATTAAACACTCCAAAGCACCAAGCTAAGAATCTATCTCCTATATTACTCCTTTGTTGAGATTATTTATTACAAAGCTCTTATTTCTCCATTATGTTTTCCAAACCAGAAATATTCTCTCTTTCTCGATGATAACAAGGTGTATTTTGAGTAAGACAAACCAGACTGGAGTACTCAAACCTTTTAACATAACAGTTCTAGTTATATTATTACAACTTAAGCTTCCAAATGCATTTTTCCCCTCACACTATTTTTCACATAGGCTTTCACTTGTCTGGATGAAAAAGTGTCAAGTCAGAAACTATAGTAATATGTCCATATTCAGCCACACAAAATTCAATTATTTTGTTCAGGCTTTTGAATAAAGTACACCATTTTCCAATAATTAGATTCTCTGAAGTAATCCAGTATCTCAAAGGAATAAGGTAACAAAATATTTATCCTTATTTATCCCTTATCCCATTACAACGTCAAATTATTATTTAGATTCTCAAAGACTTCCAAAACCACTTTATTTGGAGAAAAAAATTTAAATGATCAGATGTTAGCTTGAGTACTATATCCCTACCATATAGTTTCCATAAAAATGCTGTTCAGCATTGGAAACAAATTATGTCCAATACCTGCAATTATCTTTGAGGCATAGATTTCCTGCCTTTTGATGTGTGACTCTTTAATTCAGATTGCATTAAATGATCAACAGAAGCTTTTCTGAAAAGTACAGGCCACGGATGTCCTTGAATTAACTCCTATGTGCATCAAATAATCTTTGCAGAAAGGTACAGAGCTTTTTGTTGAAACGTTTCCCCAACATAGATAATCCACCCCAAACCACACATGGTGACATGTGTCCTGTTCCTCTGGGTTGGATTTCCCCAGCTGCAGCTTCCAGCTACCACACTTTATTTCAAACCTGCCTGCTGACTACAGCTCATCACCATAATTTCTGTGACTGATCAAGAAGTCATTCTTTAACCTTTGGGTTCTCCCTGTCTCAGAAGATACTCAGTAGCTTCTGGACCTTCAGGGAAGTTGTTGATTAGAGGCAATTCTGAACTGCTGACACCAGACTTGCAGTAACTCCACTGCCCACCCAAGAGCCCTTTCAACCACATGACGTTGCTAGAGACTTGTGTTGCCTGCTCTCCTTGCGGTGGCAGGGCCATGTCCTTGACAGGTGACAAACACGGCTGTGTCCTTGGCTCCCTGCTGAATTCGGTCACATGAGAGCACGTGTCAGATCTGGCAGACCGCAGCTGCTAACGAGCCCTTTTCAGCTCCTGAGAGCCCCATCACGGCTCGTCCGTCCGTACCCGTTTTAGGCTCTGGTCCAGACCCCCGGTGATGGGAGGTTCAGAGCTGAACCCCCGGGCTGGGCTCAGCAGGGAACTGTGGGGGCACTGCCCAGCCCTCACTCCACACAAAGCCCATCCTACCCACACTGCTCACTGCCGAGGCTGTGCCACTCTGGAATCCTAAAAACGGAGCTGCATAAGCCACCCCCAGACAGCAGCACCTGAATAAAAACATAGCTGCATAAAGCTACACCCCAAACCTACCCTGAATAAAAACATCAGCTGTATAAAGCTACACCCCCAAACCTACCCTGACCTGCAGCACCAGCCACTCTCCTCAGGTCTGTGCTAACCACTCCATTATTCACAGCACAGGCCTCTAATTACGTGGGTCTCCCCCTGAACCTTTTAATTACTGCTGCATTCTTTTGTCCTGCCCTCTTGAATTTCTCACAGTCATTCAAGAATTAATGGCAGGAAAACAACCCACAGTATTAATTGCCTAGAAAATACTTTGGACAACACTTGAGTCCAATTTATCTGCATCTATACAAGTAAAACGTGAAATGAGTTGCTGGTATTGAATATGCTCCTCAGCTCTTTCCCTATCATCTTGCCAGTAGGAAAGCTTGAATAACTAACAATTTTAGCTCATTTACAGAGACATTTCAGTTATATTTAGCACTCCTAAAAGGGCAAAGTACTTGAAAGATACGCACTTATTTGGATGCTTAAATATCTTTCCAGCAATATGTTTCTTCTCATACATTTGCAAGGTGACTAACTGCTTTGCTTAGTTCATTTTTGAACACCCTACACTGGAAAAACACTAATTAATTTCATCATTTTGTCAAATCAAGAAGCATTTAAAAAAAACATTCTTACTGTGAGGGATGCAGGCAAAAGCAAGATATGACACACAGCTTAACAAAGAAAGTGCTACAGAGAGTGATACTGGCATGCAAGCAACTATTAGTTCTCACCATGGACTAGTTGCACATATTTTTAGGGATGTAACTCCTAGCAAGCACCCCCAAAAAATTCATATATTTAATCACTCAACCGGTGTTTTGACATGCACACAAGGCATTTAGGTTTGCCTTTTTTGTTGTGTTTTTTTTTTTTTTTTTTTGTTGTTGTTGTTGTTGTTGTTGTTGTTGTTGTTGTTGTTGTTGTTGTTATTTTTAAAGGACTAAAATGCAACCCATGGCAAAACAAATCTAAGCACAGATTGGGGAAGCTGACAAATCAGGTCAGAAAACACCTTTTAAAATAATTAAGAAGCGTTCCTTTGAAGAAGAATTACAACGTTTATGACAGGACTTGCCACAACCAGATACAGTAGCCTTTAGGATGGACTTTGAGTGTAGTTTTTGAGATGCAATAGATGGGACACAGCACCTACCTTGAATGTTTACAAAGTTTACGAGGTCTATTATGCAATTTCCGATCCCAATTCTCTGGATCACTGGAGTTACTGTCATAAGGATGAGGCCGTCCTGCCATTCCACTGCCAGCTTCCTCACACTACTGCTCTGAAAAGCACACATGCAGCACTCACAACCTACATTAAGAGAGCAGTGTTTACCTTTAAGTAATGCCACACAGGAAAAAAAAGTCAGACATGCAGAATTTAGTGCTGTTAGGTTTTGATTTTTTAAATGCAGATTACAGAAAAACAGGATACGCTGAAGCAGAAATTGCATGACAATAATATTTTACACGTTTTGCTGATACCTGCACTAAAAAGAGTATTTTGTTATAAAAAATATAGTTCTGTAAATGCTGGCAGGCAAATTCAATTTTGCAACAATTAAATTCACTGTGTCCAAACAGAAAAGTCACTGGTTATAAAACACAAGACAAACATATCATGATTTTCTTTCAAATGTAAAAAGTTAATTCAAAGGAGGATCCCAAGTGTAGAACAGAGACCAACAGTTTTATGATTTGAATGGCTGACCAAGAGGAAAACAGAATGAACATTTATATCTGAGTCCTCACTACAAAATGGAATTAACAGCAATCCTTAGAAACACTCGATGTGGTCCAGTTTCACTGACTTTTGCAGAGAAGTCACAAAAATGTAATAAAAATAGATGTAATAACTACCCTTCCTTGAGTGGGGTCAGATGTTATGTTCAACTCCCTTTAGAATTCTCTCATAGCCCAAAGCACCCTGTGACTGTCAGCAGAGACAGCCAATCTCCAGACTGGTGTTCAATCACACCTCTAAGTGACACTTGTGGCAACAGCTGGATAGTTCAGAACGACCTGGTTACAGAAACGATAAAGCAGCCACAAGTGAGCAGCTGATGATTGTACAACATCTGGAAAAAACTGAATTACACATAGATGAACCTTCCTAGTAATGGGAAGTCTATTTAATGTTTCTTTACAGTTTTAAGCTACATATTGTAGAAACATTGTCTCTCTACCTCACCCCACCCTTAATAGACTTGTATTACATTAAATGAAACTTATCCTATGTGGAAGTGAGGTCCAAAGCAACTGAGACCTCTTCAAAACAAAGTTACTTCTCAAATAAACTGTCCTTTAAGTCATGGAAAATGGAATAGCTCTCCTAGCAAATATAGATTTTCCTAGCTAAATTTAGACCCAAAAGTTTTTATTACAGGGGAAGAAGAGAACAAGCTTCTTAAAAATGTTGCTTGCATCCAAGTTTTGACTTCATGTTTGGTTTTACCCAAGCAAACAGGTTTAATACAAAGTATACAGTCTCCACCACAGCGCTGGGTCTTTTTCCTGTTACAGTTTCTATAATTAAATGCACTTTGATTGGAAGACTCCTACAGTCAGGTGTCCATATAGAGTCAGGAAAAGGAAAAAACATTTTATTTAAAATTACAGTAAATACTCAGATTTCTCAAAAAAAAAAAAAAAAAAAAAAAAAAAAAAAAAAAAAAACAAACAAACAAACAAAAAAAATCCTCTGATAAGCATTTCATTGTGTATTACCTGGAAGGACAGGTTAGCAAAGCACAGTCAGTGTGTGAGGATATTACACAGAGAAGGTTGTAGGATCTGCACACATTTAGCAGGAGAAACAAGGAGAAACCTACAACCTGTGTCAGAACACAAAAAGTATTATTAAGGAAGGAAGGAAGGCTGGTTTCTAACGCCAGGAGCAGTCCTTCCCAGCCCAGGTGCAATACCAGGCACACGAGCCATACAAGAATAAAGACACTTTGTATCCTGGGCTGAAACAAACTGCGTTCATTAGACTGAGCATCTCCCCTCCAGCCTTGCTGCCCATGGCAAGAGCAGCCCGCGAACACAGAGCCAGGAGCAGCAGTGCCCAGGGACACCGCAGCTCCCGCCGGGCCATCACCCAGCCCTGCTTCCACTCCAGCCTTTGCCTAAGCACCACAGCAGCTCCACACACTGCTTTGCAAGCTTTTCTTTCTTTCCATAAACTCTTTTTTCCCTTTAAGACTATCTGAGAGCTTTATAGACACCTCACCTTCTCAGATACACACCAAAGCAGGTGCCTAGGACAAAGAGGCACCCAGCACCCAGTTCTGATTCCTTGCATAGAGGCCAATATTTGAATTTAGCTTTTGTACTCCAAAGATGTGCAAAAGCAGCTGTTTTTATGAGAACTGCAGCTGACAGACCAATTTAAAGCTACTTCCTTAAATTGTCTCACACTCTCTGCTTCCTCCCCATCTTTCTTATAATGAAAATTCAACAGGAAGATGCAGGTCCACACACACCTGCAGGAAAAGCCTGTTCAGAGCAGGATCATCTCCTCCATGTGCTTTGCCCTGCAGCCCCACGCTGATGCCCTCACAAACAAGAGATGCCACAGAAGGCCAGAAACAAACAAATGGAACTGCTTCCCGTGAAAAACAGCATTCCCTTGTCCCAGCTCACAGGGAACCCCAGCAGTGTCACTGAGCAAGTGCCAGGCTGGCACCCAACTCAGAAACAGGGCACACTAATGAAAAGAAGGGAAACAATCCCAAGTGTCCGAAGTTGCATCTTGTGAAACTTCCTGTTTAGTTCCAAGCATGTCACACTATGAACACTGTTCCCTCCATCCTCCGCTCCCGGGACCTCAACAATTAACACTACTCTAAAAAACAATTTGCTGTAACACAGCCAATTTTTCCTCCTTGACCACTGCTGACAGTGCTTTTGTGCAGATTATAAATAAACGTACTTCTCAATTTTAAGTTTTACCAAACCTTTAGCCTAAAGACAAAGAACTCTTTTGTTTTGCTCTGTTGAAAAGAGTTTATTTTTTCAATTACAAAATGCTGCATAAACTCTGAGGTAACCAACCAGTCATCCTGATTAATTTTTAAACACTTCTGCAAACCCACTTTTTCCTGCAGCAGAAAATAATGTTTCAGCTGTGGATTGTTTTTTGAGTGGGTTCTGCATGGATTCACAAGGCAGGCAATAAACAAAGCATGTTTTGGGAACATTCTGACCTTGTGTACAAGAAAAAAACAAAAACAACAAAACAAAAAAATCCCTGCAAGAGTACCTGGCCCCAAATACTATTTTTAAACCTTCCATGAAAACAAGGAACCACATCTGAAATGCTGGTGAAGGTGAAAAGGCACTGGGAGCACATGAAATAAAGAATCAAATCCAAATACCCTCAGCAGATCACGCAACACTGACATACTGGCCAAAGTGGTCGACATTCTGATTAGCTAATTAGTAATTCTCCAGGTGTAAAGAATGATTTCACACCCTTCTGCAGAAAGCAAATACTCCAGAGAATCATCACAGGGAATAATAGGAAATCAGGAAGCAGACTTTAATTTTCAAAGCTTTCAGCACAGACAGCTAGAACACTTCAGATTTGATAACATCAACTTGAGGCCAGAATCATCACTAATTTATGAAAGTTGCAGGCTACTGAAATACAAGGGAATTGTAAGGACCCAGTAGGTTCAACAAGTTAAAAGTGTATGTGGTAGAGCCACCCCAGACATTGCAAAATACAGTAATTAATGCGTTTACAGCACTACTTAAGGAGCTCATGAGAGGATGTATCATACACCAATTTGTGAAAAATGTTGGATAGATTGTTTTTAATAATACTTAAAGCATATTCAGTTCTGTGCCATGACCAAATAGAATGCACAAAGGTTGCTGAGCAGATCAAGGAAGATTCAGACATCAGGTGCTGGACAGAAGTGGACATGCACTTCTGTGAGATGCAGGACTTGCATTTTTCAAGGCACTGCAGGCCAGCAGTGGGTAGAAAATGCTCTCTGGAAATCTTTCAGCAAAGAAGTAAAGCTAATCAAAACCAACACCAATGCACTTCCAGCCAGCCAGCCACTCTGTAATTGCTGAGCATACCTGTAGGCTGAAAAAATCTGGAGTCTTACTAAAAATGATAATTACAATACCCTGCAATTTTGAGGCAGAGAGCCAAAATGTCTTCTGGCCACCAGTTCATCAGATAGAACAAAGATCTGATGGCTCCTGCTGTCAGTACTGAGCACAACATTCAAATGACTAACATGTAATACTTCAGGCATCTACTCAGCTCTGAGCTTTGCTCAGAAGCACTTCTAAAAGCAGGACAGGTTTCAGAAGTTCCTCTGCTCTAACCTGCTCTCTCAGCAGAGTGCACTGGAAAGGTGACCCAGGGTAATCAGGAAGCTCCAACACACAAGTCACCAGCAAGGACAAAACCTGGCATTAGCTGCGACAAAGAAACTTCAAGGCTCAGATTAAATATTTAGACTTTCTGTAAGGGGTGACAGTCTGCTGTTCACTGCCTCTACTCATCAAAGCACAAAAGCAGCAGCAAGAAAAAGGAACTTCCAAGTCAGATTTACTGGGAATGCAAGCATGGTGACATTACATCCTAATTAAGAAATACAGTTCAAAGGACACATGCTCATAATGCAAACACCACATACCATGGAAATCCATACCTGTCAAGTGAGTTTCTTGCAAACTAGTGCAGACATCAGTCACAATTCAGCCATATAAAATAGCTTTATAAATCATCATCACTGAAACGTTATCAAACTGACACTGATTAAAGCACAGCTCAGAGACATCCTTTGCAATACAGGCTCAACATTAACACAGCAGGGCAGGACTGAAGCTCCTCTTAATGAGCAAGTGGGGAAAAAAAGGAAAAAAAAACCAAACCTGAGCAGCCACAGGAAGCTGTTGGTATTCCTATCTACAGCAGCATAAACAACAGATATCTAGGGACTAACCTGCAAGCTTTAAGTTTTTAATTCCCAAAGGAACAGGGCGATAGAACAGCTATGTGACAGCAGAAGCCTCAAAAGCAAGAGGCAGAGGACTCCCAGCTCCCCCTCTGTACTGGGGCTCTCTGTGGGAAACCTGCCCAGCTCCACCTGTAAAACGCCCAGTGAATGGAGCAGCTTCTCCCTCCAAAAGCAGAACCGTGGCTCTCAGTGCAGGAAAAGGAGCAGAGCTCAACTCCTTGCCACTGCCACTGGCCCCACCCCTGGTGGCCCTCCAACACACAGAGAGAGGCAGGCACAGGGCTCCCCCACACCTGGCACCAGGGACGAGATGCAGGGCACCAGAGCAGCAACCACATTTCCTGAAGGAACAGGCAAGGTCTGTACCCACAGCTGTACCCAGCAGTGGCAACACATCTCGGCGAGCAAGGAAATTCATACACACAGTTTTTCACAGCTGAAATGAAGTCTAAATTAGCTGTTATACATATTTTAAAGAGATACATACTTTCACTGATAAGCAACATTGCTGGAGGAAAGCTGTGCTGAAAGGAACTGGCACATAATGAGGTTCTGATTTTTGTCTATGAATACAGGACAAAGCAGCCCCAGCCTGAAGCACACAAGCTGCAAAAACACACAGTTTATAACAAAGTGACAGAAAACCCAACAGTGATGACATCTGTTACTAATTTAACACACAATGTCATCCACACATCAGCTATTTACCATTTTTAAATGCAATTGTGCCTAAAAGGAAAAGTGGGCTTTAAGAAGGAATTTAATGTGGGATGTGAAAGCTGCTTTAGCTTGTTGTCTTTCTTAACCCCCGGGTTCCCTGGCATTAACACACACACACACAAACGTGCTGAAAACACTTCCCAGAGCAGCCTCACACAGCACCATCTGCACAGAGAGCAACAACAAGCACAGGCAGGATGCGTGATGAGGTCTGGAGACAGAAATGGTACAAATCCAGGGGTAACACTCAAAGGCTTTTGGCAATCTGGGCCTTAATAGGAAAAGAAAGTAAAATCTCTGATGCTCTGCAAGAGACTCAGTCCAAGACACACTGACAGACCTGCCAAACACAGTGCAACAGTCTTCCCTAACTACAGGGCAATGGATTAAAAAAAAAAAAAAGGAAAAAAAAATCCAGTTCCTTTTGACTGTACTTGTGTTCAAGCTATAGAAATTCCAGGTATCCAACACCAGATGATGCAGAGACACATGCTTCAGCTCAGAAAAAAGATAACAAGTGTGCACCACCAGGTTATGAACTCTGAACAGCGAGGTTGATAATTTGAATTGTTTCTATGAGACACTGGGTTTCTCTAGCAAACCTAGGAGGAAAAGAAACTATCTTCCAGGGAAAGGATCAACAAAGCTGAAGCAACAACAGAGCTAAGTACTCTTTAAATTAATCACTGAAGGTAATCCATGAAGAATACAGGCAAACAGAAGTAAGGAGAACAGTGTCACCAGTCAAAAGGCTACTGAGAAGCCAGATTTTAAGCATGTATTCGAATTTGTAAGATGCAGCCAACAATAAAGAACAAAAAGACACAAGCCTCAACCACTCCTTTGGACAAAGAAGCCAGACAAGTGAGAGGAACAAACCTGGGAGAGGTCTACGATGAGCTCGATCCAAATTCTGAAAGAAAAGGGTTCTAAAGTGACACACTGAACGGGAGCAGAGATAAAGAGGAAAAAGATGCAGACACGGTAGCTACAGACAAAAGTGAACATAAAGAAAAAAACTAATGACAGGCAACTGCAACAAGTATTTGTACTCTGACAGATTTATCATATAAACAGCTGATATTTCCTACAAATAAAATACGGTAACACGGAAAAAAACCCCGTAAAGACACTGGACTCATTATGAAATGGTCTGAGAGGGTAAATGACCGCTCACAAATGGCACGACGGCTGTCAGACAACACCACTGTCTCTGCACAGGCCTCACAGCGACTGCAGGTGCCACCAACAAACAACAGAGATGAACAGCAGCAATGCCGGCCGTGCCCAGCGTGCTCACGGCACGGAGCTGCCGCGGCACGGGGCAGGCGCAGGCAGCGCTGTCTGCGGGGCTCCGGGGCGGCGGCGGGGAGCGTCCGGAGCCCTCCTCAGGAGACCCCCCAACCCACCTGCTCCGCGGGGCTGGCGCTGCGGGATCTCCGCCGATCCCTTCCGATCCTAAAGGCTCTGCAGCGGGGGAAGCGGCGCCGGTCCGGCCGGCGGGAGCCCCGGCGTGCCGGGTGAAGGGTTCCAAAGGGCCGCCGGCCGCACCCGGCCGCCCGCACTCACCGGCTCCGGCGCGGCCGCCTCCCGCCGCCGCTCCGCCAGGCCCGGCACCGCCGCCACCTCTCGCGAGAGCCGCCCCCGCGCCGCGGAGGAGGCGGCGGCAGCGCCCGCATCTCGCGAGACTCGAGGGGCGGGGCGGGGTGCGCGCGGGACGCCGTTGCCAGGGAGCGGGCGGGGGTTCCCTGAGGGACCGCGGGCGGGGAACGGGGCGAGGGACCTGCGGCCTGTGAATAAAAACCCAGCGGGAAAATACCGCGGCGAGTGAAATGAATTAACAAAACCGAAATCGCAACAAGTCACGTAGAAACAAGATCCATCCCCCGCGCAGCCCTCCGCCGAGAGCGGGGGCGGCCGCTCTGAGGAACCGCGGCGGTGCTGGAGAGCGAGCGCCGCCCGACGGCCGTGGGGAGCGGCGGGGAGGGGAGCCGGGGTCTCCTCCGGGGAGCCGGGGCTCCTCCTGAGGAGCCGGGATTCCTCCGAGGAAGAGCCGGGGCTCCTCCTGAGGATCCGAGATCTCCGAGGAAGAGCCGGGCTCCCGTTGTGGAGCCGGGCTCCCATTGAGGAGCCGGGATCTCCTGTGAGGAGCCGGGATCTCCTCCGGGGAGTCGGGATTTCCTCTGAGGAGCCGGGCTCTCCCCTGTGGAGCCGGGATCTCCCCTCAGGAGCTGGGATCTGCCTTGCAGACCCGGACTTCCCCTGAAAAGCCGGGATCTCGTCTGTGGAGCCGCCATCTCCCCCGAAGAGCAGCGCTGAGGGGATGGTAGCGGGCCAGCTGCCATAGGTGTACTGGTGCCTCTGATGTCTCAACTTTCATCCTAAAACTGATTCCTGATTTAAATTACATCTCTGTACCGCCCTAGAGGAAATACGGACTCTGTGTAATCTGCAGTCTGTTTAGGAATACAATTAGTAGACGTGGCTGTCATTCCATAAAACCCCAGGAGAACTACTCTGTCCTGCAGATTAGGCACCCTCAATGTACTGGAGTGTCACAGGTGGCACTAAACCCTTCCCACACCTCGTGGGACAGAGGAGGGAGAATAACCCAATACTGAGCAATACTCAATACTGAGCCCCAGGAAGATTGACATCTAAAGAAGACATTTGCCTTTTTTCTAAAATATTCTCTGATGCATCATTATTAAATACAAGCAGGTTTGATTTCCATACCAGGGAAAAGGACTTTAGAAATCCTTATGCACATTGGGGACAGGAGGGGAAGAGGGGACAAGAGAGCAATGACTTGTGCCGTATCCAAATACCCCATGAAGGATGGCAGCTTTGCTACAACAGACAGCAAAGCATGAAGCTGTTACATGAATTCTCTTTTCTATCCTTTTACAATGGCCAGAGAGACAAACCACCCCGTTCTAGAAAGCCAGAGGCAGAACAATGAGGGGCAAGCAGCTGGCACAAAAGCTGTCAGAATGTGCAAACAAGGCAAGGAATCTGATGTCTGTCTTGTTTCTATTTGACTTCTTGTGATTTTGGCTTTGCTAAATTTTCACAAGCTTGTTCGTTTTGGTTTTTTTTTGTTTTTGTTTTTGTTTTTTTTTTTTTTTCATGTGCTACTGTTTAGCTTCTCCTGAGGATCAATATTGATATTGGTGGTTTTTTTCAATGAGTCACCAGTGAGAGACACAATTGATTTTCACTGAGAATTCTATAAAAACAGGTGTGTACAGTCAATATGCATCTGCACAGAATAGGCCAAAAAAGCTCTCTGATAGATTACAAAGCAAGGTGATCCTTCCCCTCTCCTCGACACTGGTGAGGCCACATCTGGACTGGTTATTTGATATACCTTTATCATGCCTTTTTATTTCTTTTCTGACTGCTGCTGTTACAATTTTTTATGATGAGATTTATTATCATACATAAGGGTTTCAGTGGCCGTATAATTTCTCACCATCCTCTTTCTGGTCCCCTCAGTCTATGAAAGAGAGATGACCAAAATTGCACATTTGTCCAGATGAAGATGAATCTTTACATTTTTTGGTATTAAAATGTTTTTGATAACATCCTCTGCCCCACACAGAAACTTTTGCTATTTTAATTGCTGCTCCAATGATCAGAGGTTTAAGCTGAAAAGCCATAACAAATCTACTTTGTAGATAATTAGTAAGTAATTATATAAATATGACATCTTATTTCTAATGGCCATTGCCTAGCTCTAATCTGCCACTCTGTTGTCTCTAGTCCAGAGCACCACCTTCAAACTGACACCAGGAACCCGGGCGGGTGAGTCTGGCTTCCCAGGGAAACAAAACACCCAGCTTGGGTCTGGGAGGCATCCTGCGCCACGCGGAACCTCAGCAGGCAGCTGGCCACCAAGGGCCACCGGCCCCTGAACACCAATGCCAGCCTTATAACTGGGAAACAAAACTCACCAGCCCAGGCTCCTGGTGCCAGTTTGCAGAAGGTGCTTGGGACTTTCAAAGCGGCCTGAGTTTGTGGTGGTGGCGACTTTGATCAAGGAGACATTCTGCGCCACGTGGAACCTCTCCTGTCAGCTGGCCACCAAGGGCCACAGGCCCCTGAACAAAAATGCCGGCCTTTTCCTTGGGAAACAAATCTCACCAGCCAGGGTTCCTGGTGTCAGTTTGCAGGAGGCACTTGGCACTGTCAAACCCTCCCGAGTTTGCGGTGGTGGCAGCTTGGGTCTGGGAGACATCCTGCGACGTTCAGAATATCAGGAGGCCGCCGGCCACTCAGGGCCACAGGCACCTGAACACAAACTCCGGCCCTTTTCCCTGGGAAACAAAACTCACCAGCCCAGATTCCAGGTGTCAGTTTGCAAGAGGTTCTTGGCACTGTCAAACCAGCCACAGTTTGTGGTGGTGGCAGCTTGGGTCTGGGTGGAATCCTGCACCGTGCGGAACCTCAGAAGTCAGCAGGCCACTCAGGGCCACAGACTCCTGAACAAAAATGCCGGCATTTTCCCTGGGAAACAAAACTCAGCAGCCCAGGTTCCTGGTGTCAGTTTTCAGGAGGCACTTGTGACTCTCAAAGCAGCCAGACGTTGCTGTAGTGGCAGCTTGTGTCTCAGAGGCATCCTGCCCCATGTGGAACCTCAGCAGGCAGCCGGCCAGCAAGTGCCACAGGCCCCTGAACAGCAATGCTGGCCTTTTCCCTGGGAAACAAAACTCACCAGCCCAGGTTCCTGGTGTCAGTTTGGAGGAGCTGCTTGGGACTAAAGCACCTCCTCCAAACTCCTCCAAGTCATACTGTAAGTGTGCAGAAAGTTTAGATATTTCTGTAATCATCATTCATCTATTGGATAGCTGAAGATTGGGAGGAATTGTTTGTTTGCAGGATAGAATTTTTTTGTTTAGATCCAAATGAAACAGGTTATGATTTTGGCACTTGAAGGTAATAGTTTTTGCATGTGTCATTTTTGCAAGGGGACATAAATAGATTTGTGCTAGGCAAACACTTTTTGTTTAACCACCATTGTGATTTTGAATTCAGGAAGAATGGAAGGGAAAATAAAAATTACTCTCATCATTACTTTTGTGCTCATTTTGCTGTCATAAAATTAAATGACTTAATAGTCTTAACCCAAATGCTAAATTATATCCAAACAGTCACAGGCCAGTCAGTTCTTATGCTTTAAAATAATGTCCAAGAGCTTTTGGTCCACTTTATTTGGTAATATATAAGTGAGACATAAATACAAAAATGCAATTTTATTTCTTGAAGTTAGCACAGATGCCTGATTAAAGAATAAATAGAAAGTGCACCTTAAGGCTTTGATCCTACAACCAGACAGTTGGCACAGAGCCCTTGTGCCATCTGCTCCCAGCATCTTTGCATGGCTGCAAGGATGGCCGAGAGGATGGGCTGCAGCTCTCTGCTCACAAACACATCTCTAGCCCTCAGCAGGTTGCATCTATATTTGTGGGGAGGTAGGAGGGGTCTGTGAGGCTCCCCAGGGCGTGCCAGACATCAAACAAGCAAATAAGAGCCAGCCTGGGAACATCCACTTGGGCTTAGAGCAGTAGTTGGTCTGGGTCTGGGCACTGCCAGTGGAAAATGTGGAGGCACCCGCCAGTATTCCTACTGGGAAAACTTTCTCATTCATCAGAAATGACTGGGGCTCCTGAACACGTGTACATACACCACGCAAAGTCATTTTGTATTTGCTGCTTTTTAAAGTCATTGCCATAACTGATTTTTCCCTATGCAATTCTTTCTGAGTCCTGCTTGGAGTTTGATTGTATTCCAGCTAATGGTTCCTGTCCCAGATTGATTTCTGCATGTTAATGGTTCTCCTTCTGGATGTCTGGAAAACTGAGATCCCAGTTCTACAATCAGTTGGTTAGGGAAATGAGTAATTTTATTAGTGAGAGCCGCTGGTCTCACAAAAAAATTACACATGAGGCCTAGCACAACATATAGATGTTCAAAGACAGTTTCTAGAGAAAATGAAGGACAAAAAGTATATATCACAAGATTTTTGTTTCAATTGTAATTGTCTGGTGTAGAATCATTTCCCAGCTCTATAGTTAGGGCCGTGCTTACATATGTGCTACCAAATCTGCTCCCACTGTTTCTGCAGTTAATTACAGGGTTTCATCTTTTGGAGGAGGGGAAGGTAATCAAACCTTCCCTTCATTTCTGTATTTTGCAAAATTCCTTCAGAATTTATTTTAATTTTATCCCTTTGTACTTTAATCTTAAGCTTTGCCTTCCTATCCTATTTCTTTTCTGTTTGCAGTCTTTAATCCTAAATTATTATTGTGCAGCTTTTGCTGTGTAATTAATGTTCATCTGATTTTAGGCCTTCTTCTGAAAATAGATGTGGGTTTAATTTATGTATTTCCATTAGTACAAAGTTAAACAAAGATTAACCCTAGGCCCTTTTCTGGAGACAGGCTCCCCTGCATTTATTCCTTCCTGGTTAAGAGTACAAGCAGGCCTGGTGATGACACACAAATACTGCCCATGTAAGAGTGGTAGAACTGGCCTTAAATGGTTTTCCAGCTTTCTTACTGATTTGCATTTATTTTTCCTTTTATGCTGGCAATTTATAAAATACATCAGCCAAAATGTAGCCAGCAGTGGTTCTGGGTA